GTATGTATGGATCACTTGGGTTGTTACCAACATCTGGTGAAAATTTCATGTCATTAGCACCTCTAGTAATATATTTACTGAGAAAAATGGTGACGAGTTAAATACTTATTTTACCCGCCGTCTCTGAGCCCAGACAGAAACACAAGCAGTCTGCCGACAGCGGAACAATGGATTTCACTGTTTACATGTTGGGTGTTTATCAGTGGTGTAATCACGCCTGCAGGGTTACATGATGCCGTCCTCTTTCATTTCATTTTTAGCATCAGCCTGGAATCTCCAGTCACTGTTTGCCTTTTAAGAGACGCAGTTTGCTGGAAGACAAATGGACTCGTTTAGGTTGGAGCTGGGAGGCTCGGAGGAATCTTTTACTGCATCACATGTACATATGTGAACGCTTAAATATATATATATATAAATCAAACATTACCTCCAGATCAAGGCAGCAAATGAAGCAAATCTGTAACTCACACCTACTTTGCACTCTGGTTATCCATCTGAGTGGAAGCTAGTGAGACTTTCCCAACATGCAAAGACACAATTAACACGATGTTTCCAACTGACTGGACCTGCAGGACTTAGTGAAAAACACTTCATGAAGACCTCTGAATGTTTTAAGCAGAGCAAAAGGGGTTTCTGCAGTTCTAATGTTGCTTATGTTTAGCTTCAGCTGACCCTAATTTGTTTTAATTACACCATGTAAATCAATAGGATGCATTTATTAACTTCCACTCTTATCCTTCATCATTTACTTTCACTGTGAAAAGCCTCGGCATAATTGTAATTGATTGCAACGCAAGAGCATTAAATCACATTTCCGAGAAAATTATTAGGTTGAACACTTGTAACGCATTAATAGGGAATAAATTGAGAGAAAAGATGAATGCATTTATCCCCCTGGTTGCTTCACTAATCAGCATTCAGCTGTGTGCAGCCACCATAGCTAAACTTTGATATATTGTATTATTGAAGAAGAGAGAAGCACTGAGAGACCCATAAAATCTGCAGGCGATGGGAGCTGAGACAGATTTCTCATAATAGTAATTATAGATTTGGCAGCTATGAAATACAATATGTTTCATAGAACGTGACACAATTAATAACAGCAGCCCCCATAGAGACCAGGCTCATCCAGGCTGCAGCCGCTTTAAGATTATCTTTTTTTAGATATACGTACACCGACGATGCAGCTAATGGTTACACATGTTCAAGTTTAGTGCAAAGCAAAAGAAGAACAAGTGGAACATGAAATATTGATGCTGTAGTTCACCTGAGGAAGCCAGCCTCTAATTGGATTTACTGAACTTTGGATCGGAGCCATATAATGGAACAGTAGACTTTTAATTAAACAAAGCTGAATTTATTTAGCTTTTCATTCAACGTGTTTTTGGTAGCAATGGAAAACTAGAAGCACTGGGAGAGTGCAAACCTCCACCAAGACCAATTTCCTCCATCCTGTAAGAGTTAATGTGCAAAAGCAGAGATGGAAACACATTTGCTGAATAAGTTCTGACGTAGTGAACATTTAAGCAGCAGTATGCACGAGGTTTCTTCTGGTGGAGTCCAATGTGAAAAAAAAAGTCAGACTGGTCACCTGACGTTATTCATGGTCAAACTGGTGTGGGATTAAGCTCCTAAGTTTTCATCAGTCACATTTCACCATGTAAAACATCTGTTTTATCCCCTTGTTTGAGTTTGTAATGGTTTGACTCTCTTTATAAAGTGCTTCCTGGCTCCCCCCGTCTCCAAACTTTGAGGCCCGGCAGCTCTCTGTTTACAAGCCTAGTAGAGACAAACTGTTCTGATTGGTTGTTTCGGAAGTGTGGTGTGTTTGAGGAAATGGGAAAAATAGGTTTCATGGTGCAGTCACGCACTTCCTGGTCACAAAATGTTCTGTAAAAGTGCATATCATGGCCAAAATTATTCATCATTAAATCTGGTTTTAACATTACTTTTATAAAGTTTGAAGTCCGTGCTGTCCAATCCAGCTCACTGTTTTTTACTGAAGCCCTGTGAAAGCATCACAGCTTTGCCGATTTCAGAGTGTTAAAAGAAAAAAAAAATCCTGTATCCGCATCGTTATCCGGAGCATCACCAAAATGTAATGGTGTTCCTTGGCTCAGTACCCACCTGTGGTAAAAACGTCATGATAATCTGTCCACAAGTTTTTGAGTAATGTTGTCCACAGACAGACAGACATACGCAACAGAAAACATTACCTCGCCCTTGGTGGAGGTAATTATAATCTAGAGCTGGGCGATATGTTCTAAATTTTATATCACGATATTTTCAACATTTTCACCGGTTTCACGGTATTTGACGGTTTTTTCTTTTCATCACAGCTCAGCTGATAATAAAATGTACAAACCCTGCTTATTGACTTTTTTTCTTTTACTTGTACCTCTGTGTCTCTGTTTCCCTCCTCTGTGTCTTTTCTCTGACTGGTGGTTGGAGACAGTAGTGATGCATTTTGGTCCAGTCGTGAAGGAGGAGGGTTAAGAAAAGATTATGATCGGGTTTATTGTTTTATGTTATTTATTAAAGCTTATCAGCACGACTCACCTTGCACACCAGTCAATTCCAACTCCACTACGAACTACTTCCTGTGGGCTTTTCACAATAGAACCACGTTAAGTCTCCATCAGCATAACGTCTCCATATTAACTAACCACGTTAAATCTAACTGTGCACGTCACTGAGGAGGTGTTTACTACATTCAGCGACAGTGAAAACGGGATGATTTTTTAAACGTCAGTCAATATAAGCAGCGGAATCGCCACCCGCTGCTGCAACTAGCTGCTCCAAACATTAGCATGCTAACGCACATAGCGGTGCAGCAAGGAAAAATGTCCCCCGGGAAACAACAGTTCWCTGGCGGCCGCGACGAAACGTTCCGCTATTTAAACCGGAATGTCCGGTATTCAAAAAATTCATATCATAACAAAAATAAAAACCGGAATTCGGTACAAAACGGTATACCGCCCAGCACTATTTTAAACTACAGGTTAGTCCAATAAGCAGGAATCTTTATGCCATTTCCTACAAAAAATATTTCTATAGAGCTTTGTTCTTTTTTAAATCCTTTTTTTTAAACCAGCATGTTTCCTGTTCAGGGCCCAGAAGTGATTGTGTGAAACTTCAGCTACACTTTAATCAACAACCGTCACAGAAACACACTTTCACACTCACACCTACGCACAGTTTAACCTAACACGTATGCTGTTGGGCTGTAAGAAGAAACTAGTGTGTCTGATCTGACAGAGCTTTTGATTAAAGCTGGTATCCCAGCAAGATTTAAGCTACTGGAATATAATCTGAGTTATAAACAGCTGTTTATAACAGATGTGATGTTAAACACTACGAGGAACAGTTTGTCTATGACCTGCATGTGGTGCTTTTTAATGAATAAATTATTAAACCACGAACAGCTGCAGAATCCTTTGAAGCCATCCTCAGAAATAAATAAATTAAAAATACCTGAATTTGTATTTTTTATACTTTTCAAAACATTTAACTGTACACTCTTATTGTACAGCACTTTGGTTATCCCTGCAGTTTTTAAAACCTGTTATAGAAATAAAGTTGATTGATTGATCTTTGAGGCTTTCACGGGCCACATTTGGCCCGCGGGCCTTCAGTTTGACATATATGATTTTGTACAGTGCTAAAACATGCACAACTCTTGATTATGTTTGTGTTGTTTAGCACTAAAGTAGCATCACATCTGCTGACAGTGTGCACAAAAGCAAAAGGTGAATTTATAAAATGGCATTTTGTTATCTTCACACACTGGTAGAGAAAACAGTAAGAAGTTTTATCTGCTGATTAAATATATTTCGAACTCAACCCTCGACCTTAAAAGAAGCGGAAACAGTGAGCTCAGGCTCTGCTGGGAGGCAGCTGACTGCATAAAATACAAATAAATAAGGAAACAAATTTCACTCCAGCGTTACTCTTAAAAATATTTTGACGCATCGTGTGTTTTTAATTGCAACGTCTCTCGTTTCTCACTCAACCAACACTGATATGATCCCACACAGATAGTTTAACGCTGAATCAAACGGCAGAACCGCTCGTTGTCTGAGTGCAGCACAAATCTTTTTTTAATTCATATTATATCGTTTTAAATTGGACTGTTACAGTCGTGATGATATCTCTTTTTTCCTCAGGACAAGTGGGTCCAAACCCATCTTCCCTCCTCGTCGTTTTTACTCGAGTGCCATCCTGAGATGAAGCAGGACACGCAGTCAGAGGTGAGGACACGCCGCAGTTATTATTCGCTCTTTCTGACAGTTAACCCGGGGGGAAATCTGAGCCCACAGAGTTATTACAGCACTGGAGGGAAGAACGACTCCTCCACCTGCTGCTGGTCCCACATGTGTGCAGGGTGGGCAGAAAACAAAGCAAGAAATCTTTAAAAGGGGCTCATAATATTGGTAATATATATATTTATATATCATTTTTTTTTACTAAACTTGTTAAACAGGAAAAGTCTCCTTATATGAGCTAAAGTGTCTCCTCAGGTGCTGCTTGGACGTTTAAATGAGTCGAGGCTAAAAAGAAACACGACGTGCGGCTCGGAGGAAATAAAGTGTTTTTAAATGAGATTCTCACGGCTGTTACTGTGGTCGTCCACCAGTATGATCTCTTTGAGGAGGTGGGCCGGCGTCCTCTGGATTACGGTGTGGACGGAGCGCAACAGAACGGACAGGGCTTCGTTGACAAAGATGAAGATTACGCTGAGCTGAGGGAGGTCTGATGAGTACGACATGTTTTTGCATCTGAAAGGACAAAGAAATAGAAAGAATAGATTTCAAGTTTTTTTTTTTTTAAAGAAAAAACAAAAACGTCCGCATCACATCCAACTGTCTGAAAATTATGGAAGAGGATGAGGGCCTCAGAGCAAAAAAATAAAAATAAAATTTCTCGAAATTTGATTTTTCTCAGAATTTGATTTCAATCTCAGAATCAGGAAAAAGTCAACGTTCTGAATCTTTTCTTAGAAATCTCAAAATTCTGACTTTTTTCTCAGAATTAGGACTTTAATAACAAAATTAGGAAACATAATTCTGACTTTTTTCTCAGAACTTCAAAGTCAGGATTAGGAAAAAGTTAGAATTCTGACCTTTTTCTCAGAACCTTGACTTTTTTTTCTCAGAATCAGGAAAAGGTCAAAATTCAATTTTTTCTCAGAATTCTGACTTTTTTCACAGAATCTTGAATTTTTTCTCAGAATCAGGAAAAAGTCAAAATTCGATTTTTTTCTCAGATTTTTTACTTTTTTTCTCAGAATTCTGACTTTTTTATTAGAATTAGGAAAAAATTCAGACATTTTTCTCAGAAATTATTTTTTCTCAGAATCAGGAAAAAGTCAAAATTCTGAATTTTTTTCTCAGAATTTTGACTTTTTTCTCAGAATCAGAGAAAAAAAATTCAGAATTCTGTTATTAAATTTAGAACTCAGGAAAAAAAACTTTGCTGTGTGACCTGAATCCTTTTCCATATAAAATCCCTCCAGAACACACATCAATAGCTTGATATGGATGGATGGATGGATGGATGGATGGATGGATGGATAGGTAGATGGATGGATGGATGGATGGATGGATGGATGGATGGATGGATGGATGGACAGAAGACTGACCCGTCGGGTCGTAGGTCTGGAATGGGCCTGGTCAGGGATATGCGGTCACTCAGGTAGCCGTTGTATCCATAGTAACGAAACTTTTTGAGTGCGACTCTTCTGCTCTCGGGGCCGAGGTCGTGACCCCAGTGGTTGAACAGCGAGGGGGCGGAGTCTGAGGCAGAGTCTGATGAAGATGCTGCATCTTCACCATCCTTCTGAGGGGCATCTGTGGACAGAAGACGGGAGACACTGAGCATTTTGAGACTAAATATATCGTTTAAGTAATTTTTTAAGACCTATTGTTGAGCCCAAGCATCAAGTCTGTGGTCATCAGAAGAAACCAGTTTYCTGAAGGATGGAGGAATAAAGTGAGCAACATGAGAACAAGAGAATAAAACCTGCATGTGATTTGAGATAAATGGCATTTTTTATTATCATTACAAATGTTTCTTTGTGCAGAGGTGGACAAAATCCACTAACATGAGCGATGGAATATTTCTTGTTTTAATAAACATGGAAGCTTTTTGTTTGGTGTTAGATGTGCAGCACCGAGCTGTTCTTCATGTGTGACAGTAAACAATGAGAACAGGAATAAAGATGCTTAAGGGCTCAATAAAAACAGCCCTGTTGGAAACAAATCCATTTTTATATTTTTTTGTTTGTTTAAATTACAGCGTGAACACAAAGTGTCAGTCTGCAGTTGTTCCTGTGGCTGCAGGCAGAATGGAGCCTGAATCTGTGCAGAGTTTAAACACAGATCAGTTTTTCAGCTTCTGACAGTCAAATATCCAGGATCTGAGAAAAGTCTGCAAACTTTAACCAAACCATCATCCATCCATCCGTACATCCATCCATCCATCCAACATCCATCTGTCCATCCATCCATCCGTACATCCATCCATCTGTCCATCCATCCATCCATCTGTCCATCCATCCATCCGTACATCCATCCATCTGTCCATCCATCCATCCATCCATACATCCGTACATCCATACATCCATCCATTCAACCATCCACACATCCATTCAACCATCCATCCATCCATCTGTCCATCCATCCATCCATCCGTCCATCCGTACATCCATACATCCATCCATTCAACCATTCAACCATCCATCCATCCATCTGTCCATCCATCCATCCGTACATCCATCCATCTGTCCATCCATCCATCCATCCGTCCATCCATACATCCATACATCCATCCATTCAACCATCCACACATCCATTCAACCATCCATACATACATCTGTCCATCCAACCATCCATCTGTCCATCCATCCATCCATCCGTCCATCCATACATCCATACATCCATCCATTCAACCATCCACACAT